ACCCACTTGGAGATGAGTGAGGGATTAGGAGCAAGACCTCCACATCCCAAAGACTCTACTAATCGCATCTCCTATTGTCCGTCCCTCAATGAGCCCATCCAGATAATTCCACCTGGATGATTGAGAATCTTCATCAATATATCCAGTCAGAGTTCAAGTCTTATCAAGCGCCTGTAAGACTTGAACCCTGTCTTAGATACCTATTTAGGCTAGGGTTAGATGATGAATAACCTGGCTGAAAATCAGCCAAAACAGCAAAAGAAGGCCATTAAGGGCTTCATTAAAACAATAAAGGGGCTTAGTGGATTGTTTTACTCATTACAGTAGACTTCATTTCCCCCTTTTCGGCTGCTCTATAAAACCGCCAACTTCCAGAGTGCTATAGCACAGCGTTCAGGAGGAGAAAATCTTCTACTTAATCAATTATAGATATAATTTGGGCTCGCCTCAGTCATTCATTCACTGGAAAACTTTGGGGATTTCTCCTGAACTGAAAAAACAAAAGCCAAAACAATGTTTACCTGAACCAAACTGGAAAGGTCTTCATCTTTGTGCTTCTGTAACTGGAGAACAAGGAGGAAGGAAATTGAAATAATTGAAATTGAAATTGAAAGGAGGGAGGGAAGGGAAGGGAAGTTAATTTTCAAACTTGCAATAGAACTCCAGTCACCCATTTGTATGGGATCCAAGTCAGTTTAATACATGGCTAGCAGCCACAGGCGATACCCAAAATTTATGCAGACAAGGTACAAAACAACACCAGGCATTCTTATTCCTCGAAGACACCCCACCCCCAAATATTATCCCATTATCTGCTGTTCGACTAAGCCACCTGATCTGAGCCTGGGCTGTTTGCCTGACGAGAAGAAAGCCTCTTCTCTTCAATCCCCCAACACTCAGTTATTGGGGCCTCTAGCTGGGAATCCTGCAAGCTGCAGTCCCAACAGAGCTGGAAGGAGAAAGCTGGAAGGAGCTATGTTAGGAGGTCAACCTGTATTGTCGTAAAACAGCTGCGCTTGGACCCACACAGCTGCATTTACTGACTCTTTTCAGCTCCTTAGCAAGCTGAGCTCCTGTCTTGCTACAGAAGGCAACTCCCTGGCAAAGTGGCATTATTTTTACCCAAAATATCGGCCATTAAAAAAAAACATACTCTTTTTTTGAAGTAGGTTCGCCACTTGTGATATTCCCGGATGACTATGTTAATCCGCCGCCTCCAATATTTCTCATTCGTTCTAACACCCTAAAAGAAAAAGAAGAAACGTAGTGGGAACAGGAGAGATAAAAGTATTTTTCAGGTAAGTGAGCTCCCACTTTTCAACAAAACAAACGTTGGAAAGCCAAGGCCACTTGCACCCCCCAGAGCCTTGGAGGGATCTTCACAAGCCCCTCCAGGAAGTCCAAAATGGCACGGTCTCCAGGAGGAATCCATTAAGGCAAGGAAGCTGAATACCCCATTGACTCAGAAGGAGAAGGAGTTGGGGCAGCTGGCTCCTACCTGACATACCTCGGGAACTTCTATAGAACCATCCAAGGGAGTCACAAAATTGCACACAGGATTCTTCCTCTTCTCTAGATCTGAAAGAGGAGCGAGAGACTTTGCCAGATGGCTTCCTGTGAAAGCCCACAGGTGAGCTAGAACGCCAAGCCTGGTGTTCATGTTCGATTTTTCCAGCTTCAGATGTTCTCTTTTAGATTATTTAATAATGCATGCCTCTCCTAGTATTTTTTTTTAAAAAACTTGTACTAGAACAAGAATAAAACTTTAACAAAAAGCAATCCAGGCCAAAACATAATGCCCAGGGAAGGAAGTGACCAAGGAAGAAATGCCAGGCTGAATTCTCCTGGAATCCAAGCAAAAACAGCAACTTGGAGATCATTTCTTGCTCCTGATCAACCGCAAGGGACTGTCTTCCCTTCCTACAAATCCTTCACAGGGTTCTGATGACAGATTAAGATCCAGTTCGTTCAGGGAGTATTAAGGGACAACGCCTTAGCACACCTACCCTTTGCTGTTTACAATAGGTTTAAAAATTCCTTTCTTCCTATATGGCAGGAAAGGTCTTGTGAATTCTGAAGGATGGAGATGCAAGTAACAGCTGTTTTGAAATAACTGAACTTGTTCTGGTCATAACTGAGACACGGGTTTTCTTTTAAGAGCATTTCCCTGAAAATAATATACTCACACTGGATGTACCAAGCCCTCCAGATGGCGTTGTTGAGCCGGATTTTATCTCTACACAGTAGCTTCAACCCTTTGAAATTCTTCCACTTGGGGGAAACCAATGTCCCACTGTAACAAAGCAGAGCAGATTTGCCTTTAAGACGTAAATACAAAGAAACAGACATCTATCATTAGCTCCGCGGCTGCCCTGCATTCCCCACATAAACTTTTGAAAGGAATCACACGCTTTTTTCCAGCACCATGCCAGTTTCCACTTTTGGAGCATCCACGGACGTTAACATTGGGAACTTGTCAAATTTTCTTCAACAGGCGCAACGGGGAGTTGCGGGGAGGGTATTCTAAAAGCTGAGCCCGTTCTAAGAGGGGAGGGAAAAAATATTTCTGCTTTCGAAAGGAAAAGAACCTCCCGTTTTAACCAAGGAAAAGAATCGTGCTTCTGTGCGGTCTAAGGTAGGCAGCAGTTGTTCTCAGAAGGCCGGATTTGAGCCAAACTGACCAGAAGCGTGGCGGGGCATCCAAAAGAGATCCACACCAAGTAGCCCATGGCCCAGGCTCTTCTCTTTGGCTGCCTGCATGGCTAAAGACAGTAAGGTTGGCAAAGTAAAGTCATGCCATGCCATGCCGAGAAGAGAAGGACTTCCCTGTATTGGGGAAAAGGACTGAAAAAATAAGTGGCCAGCATTGGGTGGCTCCTTCCTCTCTTCCTAAGGGTGCCTGCAGGTGACATATTTTCCAGATCCTGGAAGTCACTGGTTGAGACATGCTACGAGTCCAGAGTTCAGATCTTCTCTTTGCGCTGCATTCACATAACCTACTCCCACACCGCAGCGATTTAAGGAACAGGGAGCCACCTGGTAAATAATGGCTCTGATTAACCTAGTTGAGTCTCTCCGTGTCTGGTGTCCTCCGGGAGTGTGGGATCTGCCCTTTCCAGGACTCCCAAAGGCCGCATCAGCTGGGAGTTCCTGGAGGTGGAGACCCAGTGGCACCAGAGGTGGAGGGCATCTGGCTAATCCGACATCCAGCTCTTCCCAACCTTGCATTTGAGGGGAAAGGCAACCCTCAAAACCCCCCAGTCGGTATGGCCAAAGGAATTCTGAGCTAGAGTTCCACAAGATGGGAATATGCGTGGTTGGGACAAACTGCAATGGTCCTCCTTCTACCCGGCAGACATCATCGATTCCCACTTTTAATTCAACGCTCCTGATTTTTTTGCTGTTTCTGAATGTACCAGCTTCCCCCACAGATGGTAACTCCACCCCATTGCTCTATTCTGGATTCTGCTGTCAGCCCTGTGTCTGCTTGCTCCTCTGTTTAGCCGCATTATTCCTGAAATAATCCTGTAACAGCCCACAGGCATGACAGATGTAGGTCTAGACAGGGCAGGCCTGACAGCTGGGTTCCCTTCTGTTCCATCACTCAGACTGTACAGCCGGCAAAATCTCCTTTTAAGCTTTCAGGGCAGAATAGCCCATGGTCTTGAGGCCACTGAGAGGCGCCTCGGCCCTCACTATGCTTTTGAAAACAACATCACACAAAAGGAAGACAGACTCCTGTACACCGGACACACCTGTACCGCAGGTCTTTACCTCAAAAACTGTGGCTCTTTCGCTTTCCTTCAGGACCTTAAACAGCAGTTGCTAGAGGTCTTTTCCAGGGTAAAAGAATAAATCAAAACCAGTTTAAGTATATCTTTCCCCATACACAAGATAAAAAAAATATTTTTGGCTCCTATGCACAGTTTCTCCTGGGATAGTGTGTGTGTGTGTGGGTTGTGTATTAATCTAATTTCTCTTCTGGGGAAGCAGACGTATTAATTCAGCTCTCCCTAAGCCAAAACTAACAACATTTCTTCAAACAAAGGTTCATTCAGCGCATCGGATAACATGCAGCTGTGTGTAGGAAAAAACCATTCCTGCACTGAACCAATGAGAACAGCTCTTTCGCTCTTCTCCAAGAGGCTGAAGGCTCCCACTGACTTGCTTCCCCTTTCCAGAATAGAAAGCAAACCCCAATGCAGCTGAGAGCTGCAGGCACCAGCCAGATTTCTTAACCTCAAGGCCCAGCCAGGAACTTTACCCAGGCCTGGAGGACGACGGAGGGCCAGGATGGATCTGGAGGATGGAGACTAAGCCGCAGATAGGGCTAACAAATGTTCCCACACACCTTTCTCGTGTGACAATTCAGTTCCTGGGAAACTGATTCAGCTAAAGGCAAATCGCGCTTATGAACATCGTTTCTATCCTGCTTTGCACCAACGAAAGCAAGGAAGTGTTCCTTAACCCATCTTTGTTACTAAAGCTACAGGATTCTTGGGCAGCGCTGAGCACCTTTTGCCAACCCACTGCCACGCTATTGCGGACCAAAGATAGCCTGACCCTAGGCCAGTCCTCAATTCTAATTCCTCTCAGCTTGGCACACGGACCGATAGTCGTTAAGGACAGTGACCCTGAGGCTTACTCAAGTCAGAGGTCCAAGAACCTGCCTTGACCAACAGCTGGGATGCAATGCTGGGACCTGCGGGGTCCCTGACTTCCCTGGCTGGAGAGCAATGCTGAGAGTTGTGCCCCACAACGTCAGAAGGGCGCCTCATTCGGGAAAGCTGAAAACATCCCAGTGATGTTTACAGTCAAGTAAGGCAGCTCTCTGGTGAGCGCAGGGCTGAAGGGAGAGTTTTCCAAGGAGAGCAACCATCATTAAACGACAAAGCACGTGCTGGAATGAAGTCAGTCCCTGTTCAACCCAGCGACTCCCGTTAATTACGCTTCACAGGCAAACCACCTGGCTTCACAGAAGACAACTCCATGCAACTCCGAAAGGAAAAACAATGGCTATACAATTAAAATTTAATGTCCAATGAATGTCTATCGTGACTCACAGCAGGAAATCAAAACTTAAAACTCCCCCAAGTTTGAAAGCAACCTGATAAAACTGTCACACTCAAGTGGTTATAAACATGAGAATGAAAACTAGATTTTAATTTCAGGGGGATTCCCCTCTCTACAGCGGTGGCTGGGCTAGAGATCTGTTACCCAATACTTCACCCCTTCCCATTGGCTCCCATCTGGTTGGGAGGAAGAGGCGAATAGAAAGGGTGTCCATTTCATTTCCCTGTACCGCATTCACCACCAATGTTATATTTATCTGCCTTCCTGACTGCCTCTTAAGATAGCCAATAGGCACCCAAGACCAATCCTTCCCTCCCGCCCCTCTCCTAATCTTGAGAGTTTCAGCGATCTGGGAAGGGAAAGATTTAGGCAACTGGAGCCCATGGAACAGCTAAACCTGGAGCTGGCCAAGCGAGGGAGCACCAGGTGTCTGCAATCCTGGACTGAAGGGGGTATAGGGTTCGCCTCTATTGATGAAATGGGTATAACAGGAAATCTGAAGCCGAGCCAACTGGAAGCAGGGTCTGTCCCTAATCCTGTTGCAAACCCCATCAGAATAGCAAAATGGGGAAGGTGGGGGACAAGGACAGGGGAGACCCAAGTTCAAATCCACAGCCAGTTCACAGGGAGACCCGAGGCCCTCTCTTCCAGCCCAGTTTCAGAGGGGGTGGGGGGAAACAGGAGTGTGGTGTTGACCACCCTGAGCTCCTGGAGGCAATGCAGCGTATAAACCTAACAATTAAGCAGCAGGTGTGTTTTGAGAGTCCTTTGGGTTTTAAAAAGGCTTGGCTTTAAACACTGACAGCTCTACAGAAGCCGAACCAACCCTGGTTGGCATGTGTGCAAAAAGGGGAGCTTTTCTCAAGTCAGAATGCTCGAGAGGACGAGAGGCTCCCCCTGCCCAAATTCACCCTTCAGACCAACTGCCGCAAGCACCGCAGCCCTGTTCTTCTACAAAGTTTGCACAGTAAGGGCACGTTCAAGCCGGAGCATCTGCCTGGCTAGAAATGCCAGCTCACCCTGACTTCTTAAGGTTAAGAGAGGCCACCGAGATCAGGGTCCAGATTTAACAGCAGCAGACAAATCAATGAGCCCTTTACGGCCTTATAGATTTCCAGCTCCGTGCCAACGTTCAGGGTAAGTAGCAATTCTGGGTTGAGTCCACATTTCTGCAGGCGCTGGCCAAGGCGGCTTGTGCAGAGTTCTGCAAAACAATCACGGTCTAATTGTTCATTAGTGGACCTCTCAAACTGGAGGAAAGGGAGCTGCAGAAAGCCCCCAGCTTTGCCACACCACTGAGACGTTTATCGCATACAACAGGTGGAGAAACCTGAAACCTGCTTCAGTCATCAAGGCTAACCTAAAGTTCTCTATACAACCCAACAATCTATAAATACATCAAAGGCAGTGAGGATCTTATTCAAATGTATTGGAAAAGCAGCAGCTCACCTCTCACACACTGAAGCTTTTCAGACATGGGGGGAAAAAAAAAGCTGCAGAGCACGTCTTGGTTACAGCTTGAAACAACCCAGGCCCAAATGTTCCTCAACAAATCACCATGGCAAATGGTGAGAGCATTAATATGAAGGGAAATTCAAATACGGCATTAAACTAGGATAGAGGAAACAGAAATAACAAGGGGTCAATGGGTGAAGGACGGGAAGTGCAGCACGCTGGAATGAAACCCACAGTACTGAAGCTGAGTCTCGGTGGAAAAAAGTGCGTCCTTGAGCAGCATTACCTGAGTGTCATAAGGTGCTTCGAAACAAAAGTTAGCATTTGCTCTAAAACATGTGGCTCCTTTAAAATTGAGAGCACGTATTGAGCAGCGTGGGAGCAAATGTCTTCTAATAAAATGTTCTGCGTGCCCCAAGACTCTCTGCCGGATTCCAGGCCCGGCCCACAAGGCCTGCGAAGATGGTGGCAGGAGAGATGGGCCCATTGCTGGCGTCTTTGGCCCTGCCCTTGAAGGATCGATCTGTTAATCTCTCCTCCTCCGGCAACGGATCTAGGGAACCATGAAGAGCAGGTCCACGTGGCCCGCCATTTGTATTTGGAGGCGAAGGAACAGTGGCTGATCCATCTACTCTAGGACACCATCCAGATTTCTGGCTGGCCCTTATCAGCAGCGCGAGTGGTTTACAAGGCAGTGAGGCTGGCCCACCCGAGGCCAGAAAAATATCTAAACTGGAGCCGGTTCTCAGTCGCAGGGACAGCGTTAAGTGATGAGATGCCAAGCACCGTCCACTTAGCACTTTGGAGCGGCTATCTTATCAAGTGGCACTTCACTATCCTATAACGTAGCGAGTGCCCGGTGAAGGGGGCATCCAGCCCCGCGTTGCAGCCATTGCCGCCCGAGCAGCCTGCAGACGAGCCCGATGAAATGAGGGAAATCATTTCCTCGTCGGCTGAATGAAGGGCATGTAACTGGATTAGAGGGCTGCATTTCCCCTGGCGTAGTCATTTACAGAGCACGGCTCTCCTGAGCCTCCCAAAACGTCAAAAGCCCTGTTTGGGTGTGGAAACAAGGTGGAGAGGGTGCTTCAGGAAAAGTCTGCCCTCAAGAGCACAACCCACAAAGCACACAGAGGCTGATTTCGGAAAGGAAATCAGGGAAAGGGGACAGGCGCCCTCTGCATCAGGATGGAGCAAGGGGTGGGTGGCCTTTCCAGGTGGTGCCGAACTTAACTCCCACCATTCCTTGATACAAACTGGGGTGGCTGGGAGTTGAAGGAACAGCTGGCGGGCCAGCTGATGTAGCAAAAAGACCTCATCTCCCCCCCCCGAAAAGTCAATTAAGGCAACTGGAAATTTTGAATCAAGGAACAGCCAGACAGCTTGGAAGAACTTACTTTTTTCCCACTGGACAGTTTGCCGTTTAAAAATCCCTCCCAGGTGCTTTTTCTGATGTGGGATTTTAGCTAGGTATCTATAATGTGGAGGGAAAGCATCTTAGCAAAACACTGTCCAGTGCTCAAGTTGCTCAAGTTTCTTTTTATTTTAAATCTCCTGGGGTTTCTTATGTGTGCATAAGCTATTTCTGATTTTTCCTTCAGTTAAACTGATTTAGGAGACATTTTTCAAAACAGTGTCCTGCAATGCCCAAAGAGAGCCCTGAAAATATAATACACTGTTTATTTAGGAAAGAGCAACTGACTGACACCCCCCAGACTGTACCCAGAGCCTCCCTACGTTAAATGAATAGAATTTTTAAAAATCAGATATGGCCAAGATCCCACAAGACCTCTTGGGAATAAAAAGCATTCTGGGCATGGGAAAAATGTCCAACCCCCAATTTAGACATTTCATTCCAGCACAGAACTCTTGGGAAACATTGGTCAAGTTTGAGAAGAAAGGCCTGAGCACCAGCAAGCAAGTTTAGTCAAAAGTAAACTACTATCATAAGAAAGATCAGGCACAATCCAGGGGAAAAAAGGCTTTCTTTAATTCCATTTAAATCTATTTAACTCTCAGTTTAAATCCTACTAATTTCAATGGGGCCAGCCCAACAAATGTCTGGACTGTCCTGTGTGCTTTTATTATCATTTTATATTTCATTTTACCATCGGTGTAAGGTAAGGGTTTGATTGTTAAAAGTTACCTTATCCTTTATTCCAACCTGTTTGGCACGGGATTTATTCCTTCCCACTTTAGCTTTCAATCTAGTCAACTTCCTTCATGAAAGGTTCTACTCTTGCAAAACATGTGAGGCTTGCAGGTCTCCAAACTAGAGCAATACGGATGAGAAGCACTTCAAAATCCAAATGAACAAAATAAAATTGGGGAGAAGGGAGAAAAATGGTTTTAAATTTAATTTTAGACCAACAGACAACGTGCTTATACACGTGGAAGCCATAAAAGCACCTGAACTCTTTCGGTCTTTGTTTATTTGCAGCCAGGAATATAACAATCTCCAGTCTCCTGAACTTTCAGCTTGTTTGCTTTGGCGTGGCATGAAACCTACTTGCAGCATGTCCAGAGCTACATTTTTCTGCACTGGCAAAAAAGTGAAAGCAGCTCTCTTTGCACACAAGTAGGCATTTTTAATGTAGGCATTTTGACAGAAGCAAAATTTTAAAAAATTTTTAACCCTGCAGAGCTCCTGTATTTAAATTTAACCCGCTGTAGTACCTCTGTCTGAACTATCACAGTTAGAATTCAAATGTTTACAAGATCAATGGCTGGCAATCGTGTTCGGAAGAGGCATTCCTCCTTTTTTCTGTTAGGAAGAAGGATGTGCCTCTTCCCAAGGGGAGACTAGTGTAATTCATTCTTACAAGAGAAATTCCAGGATTATTTTTTTCCATGAAAGTTTCTTTTACTTCTATATCAATTTAACCATTTAAGAAAAAAAAAGACAATAACTCATATGATTAATAAACCAAGATGTCTCTAATTGAAGGACTACTCCTAGTCCCAAGCATATATTCTACACCCAGGTTCAGATAAAGTTTTCTTTTTTCACTAGTCTAAAAGCGGCTTCTTCTTTTCGTCCTAATGAGAAAAGAATAATACATAGCAGTGAAGTTAGTCTTATTCCAGTTCTGATAGGAATCATCTACATGGCAATGAGCGTGCCTTAAGTTTCACAACATGCCAAAACTATTTCTATAAACAGGAAATGTAATTGCCTGCTAGTGGGAAAGATCTTTCACCGGAAGGAAAGCTCCTGAAGCAGTATTAGTATACAAAACAGAACTCAGGAATAGTAGGTCACATCTCACAGTCCCAGCACTGTTTCTCCACGAAAGGATTCGCACAATATGCAGAATGAGTCTCTTTGCCAGCTTAAAAGGAGCACAGCCCTCCAATGGACATACAGCTGCAGAGACAGGTGTCGTCCAGACAGGACTAGAGCTTCCAGAAGCAACAAAATATATATGAAAATGGAACCAGACAGAAAACGAATCAAGCTGATCACATCCTGTACTGCATTTTTTAGGTGTACCTCTGCACCTGCTGTGATTCATATGCCAGAGAAGGAGTGAGGGGCAACCTTCTACTTCCCCATTACAACAATTTTTCAGGCCCTTAAAATTAGGAAACACGTGCTACAGTTGAGCCATAAAATGGACTCTCCCATCAGCATGAGAACAGATGGGTTTGGGAATGTTATTTAGATCACGAGGCTCCTGGGAGCAAACACACCAATTTCAGTTGATAAGGCCGCTTTTTACGAACAGAGTTACGCAACTGGTTCCTTTTGAAGCAGCTATTCACCCAGGGAAGACTACTCCTTTACCAACAATTATGTCTCATTATTAAAACATTACATTATTCAGAATAAGCATAAAGTCAGGGTCAAGGTACCCAGAGTCAATAGCAGGGCTGGGCAACCTCTTTTTCTATCCAGAGGCAACTTCCCTTGACAATCAGCTGACCAAACTCTTGAAATATATTTATAGTAGGGAGAAAACAGACCACCAAACAGTAGTGACTTGCAAAATTAATGTGGTGACAGTTGCAATGTTTGGTCTTACTAACCACGGGGGACCAAACCCTGAGCTGGCCTGGAGTCTGATTCAGCAAGGTTATCCCTGCACTTATTTTTGCACGCCTGTTTTCTCACCATTATTCAAAAGATAAATACTCTGCAAACGAATAGCTGAAGCATAAACATTTCTTGCAGTCAGCAAATGGCTAGAGGGAAGCAAACCGCTTCTTGAAATAAATGCATATTCCACAACATAAACATGCAGTGCTTTTAAAGTGCATTCTGTGGAGACTGTAGGTTAATTGTGCTTCCTAATATGGAATCACCTCCAAGCCAGGGTTAGATTTACAGCGGCTACTGTATAAAACAAGGCAGAACCTCATGAGTGTTGCATCTACAGATCCAGTCCATTTTTTAAAAGAACGGGCTTCATTTTTAATCTTTATATTGCATTTACAGGTACAGTTAGTCCAAATGAGTTTTTTTTCAGTATACCAATACTTCATTTGGACTTACTGTACCTGTAAATGCAACATAAATATAAACATGTCCTTAGCCCACAGCTAGACAGGCAACACCTAACTCCTGAAAGCAGACTTTACAAAGCAGGATGGATAGAAATGACAGAAGTTAAAAAGCAACAAAAACCAGCATGTTAAACAGGAAAAAAAGGAAGGAAAAAAAATTCCACAAAGCGCCAGTTTCACGTCCTGGTGCTGTTTGTTTCAGCAATACTGGAATAGTTGGGGGGGGGGGGGGGGAAATTTGACAGGTAGGTGTTAGCCTTTCAACAGCTTCCTCTAAGGCCCCACTGCACAGAATCCCACCGCTACACAACCCAGCCCTCAAAGGGGATCTAATACTTGAGACCACATGTTCCCCTCCAAAGCTCCCACAGATGCACTACACACCCCAAATCCACACTCCCCATCTCTCCTTATGCGCTCCTAACTTGGTTACCTCCTTTGTTTTCACACACCTCTTCCTGAGAGCAATCTAGGGTGGAACTGCACAAGCCGGTGCCCTCCCTGTATGATTCCAGTTTCTGCTGTCCGCAGCTGGAAAATACGAGAGCTGTGCTCTTAAGGTGCAAAAAATCCAGCAATTACACAAATGTCGCTGCGCTCTAATACAGACCTAGCCGACCGTGGCCAACCTTGAGAAACAAAGCAGAGTTAGTGCTTGGATGGGAGACCACTAGGAAGCCCCAGGGCTGTTAGGCTAGACCGAGGAGTCCCCAAAGCATCCCTGAAGACGGTCACGGCAAAATGCCTTTGTGTTGCTGTGAAGAACATCCCACGGCGTGTCCTCCGTGCAACTCAAAGGAAGCTTTCCTGAGTGGGAGCTGTGCTGGTGGGGACGGCTGGTCTGGTGGTGGCAGCTCCCTCCTCAGGCCCAAGGTCGAAAGAGGTGACGGGGCGGAGACCCCCACCCAGCCAGCTGGGCTGGAAAGAGGGGCTTCTGAAAATCAACGGCGGGGTCACCTCGCTGCAAAGAGCCCCAACATTCCCGGCCGCCCCTTCTCCGCTGT